GCGCAAAACTCGTTCCCAGAAAAGGGGATATTGCACAACTATGAAATCATAGGCACTTCCCACTGATACATAAAGGGAACCCAGATCCGCTTAAACTTTGTCACTGACATTTACGCGAGGTCACGTACCTTGTTAACGTGCAAACTTATCATCGCGTGTCTCTCGTCGAGAAATCTCGCTCCATTTTTCGCGTCGTAGGAAAACGGACAGTGAAGAAATGAATAGTAATGAACGTGTGTTACGGCAGTACTTTGAAAACTTTGATTCTTGCGTTTATTGTACCGTGAAGTCTCTTTTATCTGACCCGCTCGAGACGCACGCGAGCGCGAAGAGTTACGCGTTGTATAGGAGAGATGCGTGTTTTGCCTACGCACACCACCGACCTGCTCTACAATCCTAGTGAAAACGGGACCCAAATACGGTAACACGTGTATGTCATACGAAACGCTTGCATGAGGTGCACGCACGAAGGGGTATGTACTTTCTAACTCGATCGCAGCGAGGAGTGTTTCGTTGCTTGAATGAAAAACATCTTTTCAGCGACTGATTTCATTGACGATTATAGCTCGCGTACAGTGTTTGATGTGTGAATAACATATATGAATAAAATATTACTATGTGTGAGAAGAGAGAGAAAGAAGTATTAATCTCTTTAAATCGACATATCATCATTTTAAAGCATTTAATGAAAAATATATAATTTCTAAGAGAATATTTTTAATATTTTTTAGTGTTTCGGTGAAAATATGTTTCATCATTTTTTTTCTTATATATGTACGCGGATAATTAATGCAAAGGATGCAATAAAATTTGCAGTCGAGATATAATCGAATAATAAATAAATATTTCATTAATTAATATTTCATTATTTGCTTCACCCATATTAATGGGATATTAATTACTTTGTTAACAAGTATAAAAGTTTGTGCGGTGTTTATTGCACAAGTAGTACACAGTATTCAAAGAAAAATAACATTTATATATATGTACACATATAAGAAAGTGTGAAAATTTTATATATGAAAGAAAACCAGCAAAGTAAAGGAGCAAGTGAAATAGAGTGTAACGAATAAACAAGTAGTAAATATCTAGTTATAGAGAGTAGTGTAAACGAGCAGTAAGTAGATATATAATACAGGTATTTCTCTTAGATTTTATTCCTAGTTATTTATGTGATTTTATGAACTTTCTCTAAAATGAAGATCTCTTCGACGGCTGTGCCACTACTCTCGAGGAAAGGTCGAATCGTTGCTATTACGTAGAGAAATTCGCTACGCATGTATTATTATACTTTCTCAAAAAAAAATCGCAGTTTTATTTCCGCGAAACTATATGTTAACATATAATCTTAGGAAAAAAGATTAAGTTTATAATGATATACAACTATGTATTGCGATTAAACGAGTATAAATGAGATATGTCCGAGTAGAAAAAGAGCCACATAGACTATTTGTTAATTAATCTCTATTATCTTAATCTTAGTCCATTAAATATTATCAAATATTTGATATAAAAATATAAAACTAATTTAAAACTAATAGATTATTGTAGTTGTAATTTTCTAGGTAAAAAAATAAATTCTAGGTTCTAATGAATATTCCTTTTAACAGTAATTAGTTCGATAATATATGATTCGCGGTGATTTCGCGTCATACAAATACGAATGTGTGCGTGTAAAGGATTCTAACTATATAACGCATGTACAATGTTGTTTAGCAATCGGTGTTTCCTTCAGAGAGCACAAGCTAATACATTCTTGGCCTCTGAATGATGTGTTAGACTTTCCCAATCTCGCAATTTCGCTCGCGATGTTGCGAGATGTTTCTGATGACTACCATCCGTGGAGGATCATAAGAGCAGATGGGCGTTGTGAATCAGATTGCATTGAGAAAGGGCGTCACTTCTCTTGGAAATAAACCGCGCGGGGAAGGTCATTTGCGTTCTGAGTGTATGTAATATTTCTCAACTCAACGTCGATGCTCCAAATTCCTTGATCACTGTTCCGTGTCGCATGCATGAGGAACGACCAAAACGAAAAAAAGATACTAGTATAATGCGTTACAACGTTACACGTACGCGTGAAATGGAAAGCGCGGAGGATCTGATATTTCTTTCGAAACAGATCGGCTGTAGATTAATATCTGATACAAATCATGAATCTTGAACTATTTCGCAAACGTATGTGTCGCGACAGATTTACTTTTCCGTGTAGATTGAAAAATTAGATTAAAAAATAGATTAAAAAATATTTCTATATCTCTTTTTTCTTTCTCATTCTCTCTTAAAAAATTGACTGGATATTATTTTTTTAGATTATATTTCTTCTGGAACTTTTTAATGATCGAGTCATCATACAATTTATTTTATCGTGATTTATATTTATAGTTAGCATATTTTTTAATCTATTTTTTAATTGCAAATGCATTTAGCATTTTTATGTCGTCCGGTGACTTGTCCAACTCGAATCGCGCGCAAATTCCTCCCGGTCCACGTATATATCTGCCGTTTTATGGGTTAACATTAAAACGATCTAAACGCGTGGAAGGTCGTTGCTACCAATGCGAGGCTCTTAACATCGTCCAAATTCCTCTGCATTTAATGCTACTCGAAATGCACTTGAGATAAAGAAAAACGCAAGGTCGAACTACTTTACCGGACAACATTCACCCGCATGACGTAGGGACTATTTTTGGGATCGCAGGTTTGAATAAAAGCGGATTAGGAGGACTCGACTGTTTCACTTTCTACCGTATTGGAATTTTCGTGCGAGTCTTCGAACGGGTAAAAGAGTTGTTTCGACCTTTCCGAGGAGCCTCGCGCGTCACCGCGCGCGCGAGATTTCATTAGAGTCACGTGCGATTGCGAGAAACTTTCACGGATTGATATTTCATTGTAGCTACTATTCCTCAATGCTACTGATTCAATTCTATAAAAAATAGCGATACTCGGTTTCGTGCGCGAATATAGATATATGATTTTTCTACTTCCCTTTCAGCGTAAAAAAATATCAAATATTTCTATCGGCAGCGCATGATTGCACATATTAACAAGAGGCTTAATCGGGCTTAACATATTTTATTTTTATTTTTTTTTTTTAATGTGGTTGTAATAAATTATATGTATATCTAGTAATTTTTTCAACTGACATATATATCAACATTAGGGGAGTATATATATGTTATATCCCGGTGCTTGTTAATAAAACAAATCCTTTTTTTTTCACTTTTCTAAATCATCCCCTTGAAACACAAATGCTTTATTTTAACAGATTTTTTATTCGAACCTAGAAAACACCGAGTTATCTAATTTTGAAACAAGAAAAGTTATGACATATGGTAATTTCTTAGCAAAAGAATAATCAGCTTGATATGCATCAATTGTTGTAAGATTCCTTAAAGTATAATAGCATCGGATAATCACATTCATTCTAGAACGCGTTTATAATGATGTGTTCCGTGCATATCCATGCATAACGTGATACAATTGTTTTGACAATCATACATTTGCGAATTCGCGATGTTCGCGTGCGTCGACGATCAGCATAACAATGGCGAACAAAGGAAAGATTGCGAAGGATTGTACATAAGCTACTCGGTATTACAAATCGAGAGAGTGCCCGTTCGATGCGATACACGGACAATACGACAGCTTGCCTCTGTGTCCATTAGGTCTCGACAATAAGGCCCAACTGGACCACCGCTATTGGCAACTGTATCGCAATTCTATTGTATTGCGTATCTCGCGCTGCTACTTTTAGTAGCGCGGGTAAACATGAGGGTCTATTCGTGACTACCGACTACCGACTACCGACCATTATTTACGCGAATTATGTTTCATTTGATGTATTCGCGGTCGCAAATGAGAATATCTTCGAGTGCTAGTAGTTACGGTTGCATTAGTGCGCAGACAATGATCGAAGAAACAAATAAGATTGCTCCAATAAAGTGCGTATTTCGCAAGTGAGATACTCAATTTTCTCAATTCTACCGCATCATTTCCTAATGACAGTTTCTTTGGCTAATGTGGAGTCGAGTTTGTCTTATTAATGATAATGTACGTTCGAACAGATTTTTAAGTAATTAACGGTTGAAAACGAGGAAGTTATAAGCGAAGGCGAACTAAGCTTTATATTGAAATGGATAATAAATAAATATATTTTTCGAGAATATATTTCTCTCAATTAATTTCAAGTAGTTTTTATTTTATAATAGAATTTTTTATTTGAAGCTTTTATAAAAATATGTAATATTGAATGCGGTAAATAATGTCTTTTCATTGATATGTTTATTAAAAAAAAGTCGGCGCCAAACTATTCTAAGAATCTGTCATTAAAGTATAATAAGATAGAAAGTAGGACTTGCATAAGTATGCAATACATAGCATCTGTCGTAAAGCGAATTTTAAGATATTTCATTTTTACCTCCACTTATTCCCTGATATAATTGAGATCCGATATAATTTTAAATCTATAAATCTTTGAATATACCATAATTCATAATGTCAAATATTTACAGATCGACAAATGAAAACATTCACATATATTTCAAATTAAAGATTTCATTAGCAAATTAACAAATCTATAGATTCACGATGAATAATAAATTTACACAAAAAAATAATCCATGAATTTAGATAGCTCATTATCATATTTTTCTACAAATATCTGAATTACGAGTGTTTATAAAAAAAATTCTTAATTCGACGATTAACGCGAGAAATACAAATATTTAAATTTTCCATGCAAAGGCTTGAAACTTTCGTCGATTGCCGCGATTCTGTCATCAGGCCCATCCACTTGTACCCTCCCCGTGTAATATCCTTCACGTTCACCAAGAAACGTACCCATGGAAGGCTCGCGAGAAGAGAGCATCGTTAATGTCAGCGCGCTCTGACCAGCGAAACGCGAAGCAACAAAGCGATGCTTTAAACACCGTCGTCGTGCTTAAAGTACTGCTAAACTCCCTCGAGGGAGACGTAGAGTATCAATCTAATGAACTTACCCTCTTGGCGACTGATGACGATGAGCGCGCAGGCCAACAGCAGGCGTAGGAGTAGGATCTGGCCACGCAAAGCCGCTCCTCCTCTTCGATTCCTCGACATGTCTCTCCTGGCTTTAGGTCACCGCCGATGTTGTTCCCGTTGAAGTTGCATGCACCGGAGGTCCTTAGCCGGGGTCCTCAGCTCATCGCGCGATCGGCCGACCGGTCCCCATTCGACACGGCGTCGCGTTGGCGGATCGCAGCTTCAGTAGATGCGAACTGTCAACCGTGCCGTTAATTGCGCGCATCAAGTATCATTGCCGCGAAAAACTGCACGTTCGTCCGCGATCACGGCGCGCTTGTCACTGACGAACGCAAACGGATAGAAAGCAAAATCTCCCACTTTCACTCGAGGCGGAGCTGGCACGTCGAGGCCGCCAGGATCCACCGTCCCTTCCACGGCGCTATGCCATGGATCTCTTCTCCTCTTCCTCCTCCACCTTCTCTTGCGATCGATGGATCTTACCCGCTGCGTGCGTTTTGGCGCTCGTGAAAATGATCGGGGACAGGGGGGAGCCGACGGGAAAGGGGGACGACGATGGATCCCGATGACAATAGCTGCGGTTCTTGTCGGCAACGTCCTCATGAGAATCACGCGAGTCTTGTATCCTATTTCACAGTAATGATGTATATGAAATGTTTTTTTACTATTTCAGAGTATGTGAAGTGTTCTCGATTATTTAAAAATAATATATTGAGCGAGAGACTTTTCTTATGTTGCGAGAGTTTCTCTAAATTTTATAATAAATAAGATGTAGCTCGCGTTTGCACAAATTATCTATCTCAGACACATCATACAAGTTTTAAGCACAGTTATAAAATATCGTCTTTATTCTGAACACGTGCTTAATGTATCATGCTATAACAATAACGTTACTTTCAGATAAAGAAGAGATGATATTTATTATAATACGTTAAAGAAGATTCTTATAAAAAATCTATAATGATACTATAACATACAGATTATATTAATAATAGGAAATGCTCTTCTATAATAATGTGCATATCAATTGTATTACTAGAATGACAAGAGATACGCGACTCACCCATGTCGGAGAATCGGATTTCAGGGTCTCTCACGGCACTTCCTCGACCTCCAGGCAGGCCTTCGCAAAAATTTGCTCTCAAGTCCATCCTGTTATCCTATCCGTTCGTTAAACCCATACCGGTCGCCGGTGACCTTTACCGGTACGCCCATACCATTGCGAATATAGATTGATTCACATCCGGAGAAACAAAAAAAAAAAAAGAAAAAGACGAGGGCGCAAGGTCGGGATAACCAGAGAAAGCGATGTCGCGTGATATAATCCGATCGATGATCGTTTCAATATTTCGATTCTTGAGATCTGAAATAGTATTTTCATTTTTGTTGCAAATTTGTAGAAGATTATTTCTGTTCCTAGAATTGTTTCCTTAAATTATTACCGCGATTGCAATTTTAGCTTATAATTTCATATGTTATTATTATTCAATGAGACTTAAAATATTATTAGGAATACTGAAAATTAATGTTCTTTATCTTTGTTGTAAAGAAAGACAATATTATCTATGAAAATAAAATTGAAGAAATTTGTAAGCAACAAATTTTTTTTTAAAAAAAGAGAAAAGAAATCATTGTCTTTGTTTAATAAAAAGAATATGTAACATTACTTTTTAGAAGCGAAATTTATTTTCGGTGATAAAAAGATGAAGAGTGCTCTAACATCTCCGCGAAGATGTAAGCTGAATGTTAAAATTTCGTAAGCATTCCATGAGAATTCCAGAGTGAGATTGTGCTCTCGATTGTTTCGTATATACTGACGTAACACTCGCTATAGCTTCGACTATGGAGTCTACCGACTCTCTCTCTCTCTCTCTCTGTTTACTTACCAATTTATATTCTTACCGAAGTAGCAGGAAGTGCAATACGCCGTTGTGTATCGTAACGGTATAATGTGGAAGATATAGAAGTATCTGCATGGCATTTATTAGGCAGCAGCGCGCTTACTGATATCTGTTCCAATAAATTTTCATGAACGTATCCAAATTTTGCATTATTTACAAATTTTTATATATGGGTCATAGGACATATATACGTGATTGAGATGAACAAAAAAAGGCACATAAGATATAAAATAACCTACACCATAAAAAAAATTTATTTAAATCATTATTTAAGACATTATTTAAAAAATTTTGTAATATATATAGTCAAAATATATGAACTTTCCTATCTTTTCCATTCATTAAGATTCTTTAAATATCATTATATTTCAACTGTAAAAATATATGTATTATATTCTTACTTTCTCAATTGTTTTCCATCAACTTCGTGATGCATGTGATTAAAATATCAATGGTCATGTAATTTCTATCATTGAAACCATTATTTTATATATCCAGCATTGAATTCTTCGATATTAAAATTTAACATTCAATCCAGCACTGAAATCACTGAAATTTATTATTGCGATCGTCGAAGAATATTTATATATCAGAAGCAAGCATTTTCATCTGGTCATTTCAGTCTCTACATCTAGGATTCATTGCAAGAACTAAGTTGACGGAGTTTATCATCTCATGGTCAATGCACGCATATTATTTTTCCTATAACAAATTCAATAAATTTTAAATATTAGTAATTTTCCTAAAAATTTTATAAATAGTAGCAAATCACAAAAATATATTTAACAAAAAACGGTATTATCATATAATGCAAATTTTTAGGATAAATTAAATTAAAATCCTTATTATCGACTGATTGTACGAGCTAACAAAAGAACAGAATAAAATTAACTCACTGATTCTCTTCTTCTTTTATCTATAAATTACAAACTAAATTTATTTATTAGTATTTCATTTTTATTATACAAAAAAAAA